GAGAGAGAGAGAGAGAGAGAGATCGGAATCGTGCACAGCTGGCACTGGCTGGCGATTGATCCCGCGCGGTCGGCAATCAATTCAGACGAAGCAACATACTTAGAGTATATGGTGGGGGTTGGAGGGAATGATTTAGAAAAAAACAGACTACAGTGGTAAGAAACTGTTTCCTAAGTCATCCAGTCTTCCACCACGCGCCCTAAGTATGCTGTTCCGTCTGAAATCTGACAGATCTGGAAAAAGCTGCACTGCACCGCAAGTTTAGTCGTTTGAAAATCGCCGCGCCGTATGAATCGGGCTGGTGTCGCCACCTGACGTGCGAACGAGTACGCCGAACGGAAACACGGTGAACGAGGACGAACAGTCCAGACACTCCAGACGTTAGTCATCTGGAGGAGTCGAGGTTCTCTTCTTCGCTCGCGCGTGAATTCCGTACGCGATTGTCCGCGCGCGTCTTCCTGTCATTCTTCGGGCTGCTTCGAGCGTCAGCAGGCTAAATCTATTCGGTGGTAACGCGATTTCATCAACGTGATTTCCCTTGTCCCAGCGCTACCGCTGGGTGGCAAGCGGAGGAAGCGCCGCTCGGCCGCTACGCGAACGGTCATCTGTCCGGGGTTGAAACGTCGACGACGGAATACGTGTACACTCCGCGCGCAAACGAAGAGGCGGCCTGGGTGGTCGCGGTGCGACGTGATCCGGGTCGGAGTATGTGAAAATGGATTTTAAGAGCGTGGTGTACAACGCTGCGAGGGACGGCAAGCTCAAGCGTCTCAAGGTAAGTGCCTGCGTTGACGCGTAATGTCGCGAAATACGGCAGAAACGACCAACCTTTTGGCAGTAACTTTCGGCCGAACCATTGAAACCGATATAATCCGGACGAGTCGAATATCGCACCTTGAATACGCGAAATTGATCCTCATTTTTTCGCGACTGACATTTCGAACGCGTTTGCTTTTATTACAAAATCAAATTGCCGTTTATTCTTTTTAGCTGTATTTCTTATACGGTTCATTTTTTTATCTTCTTTTTTCAAAGTGGACAATCTTTCCTCTTTTTCTTCACTTTAGAGAAAAAAAGATTGTAGAAAATGAAGCATGCAAAAAATTCATCATAATAAATCTTGTAGACAAAAAGTCATAATAGATGTCATAATAGTCTTATTTTTTGTTAAACTTTTTGCATCGTTCATCTTTTCTTTTCTTCATCATGGAAAAAAAGGGGAAAGATAACCGAACAAGTTCAGTTAAAAGAAACAAGTTGAATGATGTTACAAGGACGTCATCGATTATTACTGTAAGAGACCGGAGAAATTAATGGAGCCGCTCGGGAGTCAAACTGGAATCCTTCATTCTCCATATTTCTACACTCGCATGTAACAATAAGCCGTATGTCTACGACTGTTCCACTACTCTTTAACTATTAATTCCGATCTCCTATCAATACATATTTGACTCATTATGATCTTATATATTCATACTCGACCCCTTATGGCCATATTTTTACATTATTTTATTTATCACTTATATAAAGTCATGATAACATCCTTATGATACGCAGAAAAAAATATTCTAAAAATATTCTTGATAAGAAAAGTAATTACTTAATTTACTTTCTTTCTTTTAAATGGTTATCTTTAATAAAGAATATTTTCTTGATAATAATCTTAAAATATATTTATAACAAATTTTAAAATAACTCATTAATGTGTACTCAAAACAACAAATTGTTTTTTTTTAAATTGTTTTATTATAAATTGTTTGAAGGAATGATTTTATGTAATAAGCGAATAGAATTTGATTTAATTTAATAATTAAATCTTGATCTTGATTAAAGTATTAAATTTAGAACTTAGAATATATTTTTAATCATTTTGATGCTTGTGATGAACTTACAAGATTTGAAGATATATAAAACTTTTGAAATATTTGAAACAAATAATTATTATTTGCGTACAATATGTATTTTTTTATTATTTTATCTAACTTATCTTTGATAATCTTTGATTTACTCTTTATCTTTTTCTTTATTCACGGAAAAAGATAAAAAATAAATTGAACTAAAATTAAAGTTAAGCTACATTAATAGAAACGGATCTTATTCTCAGAACTAAAAAAAGATAAAAAGTAAATTAAATCGAGATTAAAGTTAATCTATATTGATACAAGTGGCATATCTACTCCAGTTTTGATTCTCAGCCGAGGTAACGAATATCTACGGTACTCTATATTCGATACTGTACGTGCGACAAGAGACACGATATCGTCGACTTCCCGTTTTTCGAGTTTCGCAAGCAAGTTTATTAGCGATGCGAACTTGATGTTTTTTCCATGCGTTTCTTGACTTGCGTCGCCTTGAGACGTAGATGTTTTCGAGACGGCTCGCCAACTGTATTAATTCTTGATATTTCTGCGAGACAATGTTGCGTAGACAGATAACGATTCGCGTTCAATTCCACAATGAGACAACTTACCTCCTCTAGTGCCGCACACTCCCTTCTGATAGTGAATTCAATTGGACGCATTCAATGCATACTACAGTTGTCGTACACAAATTGACATATGAAAGATGTGTTCAATATAAAAAAATAAATTAAATCGTGAAATCCTCAATACATTTTATTGTAGACTAAATTCGTGATGTCATATTATACTCAATTCGAATTATTTTTAATCATTTCTATGGGCGCCACTGATTTTACTCAATATGTTAATTTCACTAAAACATTGAAGTTGAATCATAATTTAAGAAAATATATTAAATTTGACTCAAATGGATTGATTAAATAGATATGACGATATTTACTTTGAAATTAATCATAGAAATGGATTAATTTACATTTTGACACATGAAAGTTAAAAATAGTAAAATATTATTTAACTTAAAGGATTGGATTACCATTGTTCCTTTCATATCTAATAGTGTATTGTTAAGTTAAATATGTATTTTATAATTCGTTATAATTTTATAATTAATTATAATTTTATAATTATAACGAAATATTTGCATGGCACTTTTACTCAGAAATCAGTGTACGACGGCTTTAATATGCACCAGTGCGCAACCGAATTCGCTATGTGAGTAAAGCGCGACTTTTCGCTACGACCGACGCGACACGGTGTCAGATGACGTGAGGCATTGGTCAAAAATGGCTCGAGCTATTTAGACTTCTACAGATAGAATCGTAGAACCGTCCAAAGTCCGCTTCGTTTTCCCGAATTATATTATCATATCGAGCGATATGAGTTTGAAGAAAGAATTAAGAACACCTTCGTTAAAACTTCAATTTTGTTGAAACTTTACTTACGACGAGATGATACGTTCGACAACATACATGTTTTCCTTTGTCAAGAACATACGGTAAACGAGGTCTAACCTTTTTAAGGTTGCGGCACAAAGCAGAGTCTCGTATATGTTTTCGATGCTCCACTTACCAACTCTCTACGTTTTACAAACGATTGCGCGTCGACAGCATAACATTTTTCTATCGGTAAACCGTGTGAGCGAGAAAGATATTGACGCGGTTGACTGGAAATCAAATTCTACATCTTTCACTTGCCAGGTGTGAGCGCATCTGCCAAGTCGAGTTATCCGAGGTCTATGCACTTGGACATTTTTTTAATATATTTTTAACGGCACGTCCTTTAAAGAAATTTTATAAATATTAAATTAATTAGTTAATTATTTATTTTGAGGGTTAAAGGCATTGAAGTGCTTTCAATATTAAAAATAAGTAATTAATCACTAACCTATTTAATACTTATTAAATTTTAATATTCGAAATAAATAATCACTAATCAATTCAATATAGCAGTGATGCGCGGCCCACCGGCTTATAGCTGAAAATATAGAATATATTTTCTATTTTACAGCTTCTGTACAATTAATTTATTAATTGTTTAATTATTAATTAATCATTCTTATCGTGCGCGCGCGCGCGCGCGTGTGTGTGTGTGTGTGTGTGTGTGTGTAAAATTTAAATAAATTATTTAATTGGAATACTGAAAATTTTATCGAGCTATTCCCATGGCAACTCTAGTTAACGATCGCATAATTTCGAAATTCCCGACAGCGACGTGCCCGCACGTTCGTCGTTTCTATTTCATAAGCTAACCGAAGCGTCTGTACTGTCGTCATGTGTTGCAAATATTTACCCTAAATTCGTGCACCAACAGCAATCATATAGTATTTTAATCAATATTTTGGCTATCTATACATGTCGCGATAATCGAGTTATTATTTTAATCGCGATCTATATGAAAAGATAATCGTATACTAAGCGGCCATACTTTTTATTACGTATTTATATTTAGATTATTTTTATCTTTTTTATCTTTTTATCCAGAAAATAGTTTATTTGATTAAAAAAAAAAATCATGATTTGAACGTCGTTTCTTAGATTTAAATATAATTTCTTTAAATCAAATAAATTTTATTTATTTTAAAAAAATAATGTTTAAATCAAAGAAATTTTTTCACAAATCAAGGAAATTTTTTCTTTAACCATATAGCGAAGAAAATTTCTTTAAATCGAAGCAATCTTTTCTCTGGGTGTTGCTTTAGTACCACTTTGAGTATAGATATTTCATTTCTCACGTCTTTTAATCAACGATTAATATTAATATACTTAATTTTAATAACGTAAACAATTTAAATTTCTCGTTAATTTCTTCAATTAAAACTAGAATCTTTTTATTAAATTATTAACATTCGAGAAATTATTATATAATTTATTCATTAAGATTTGGTTAAGTGGGGGAGGGCGGGAGGGGATGGACAGATAGAGTGGACTAAGCTGAGTTGAAAAGTTCTCTACAATTTTGCAATTTCCGCAATAGTTAACAAAATTCATTACTAAAAATTGCTGAATATTGGTCTTCAATCATTTTTTTTTTCAAATACTATCAATTTTACAAACTATTATTATAATTTTATCAATGCAAGAGATAAAAATTCATTTTCTTCTCAGAAACTCTAAGAATTTTTTATCATCTTTTTATCTGCATTTTCTTATTTATACCAACATGAAATACAGTATAAAAAAATTCTGAAAAAATTCTCAGAACTTTATGAGAAGAAAAAAATAAACAATTTTTATCTGTTACAGTTTTTCTGTAAAGTTGATAATATTTAAGAAACAAAATTATTGAAAACCAATATTCAACAATTTTTAGTAATCAATATCTTATTGCGAAAATTGCAAAATAGTGGAGGACTTTTTGATTCAGTCCGCTCTATCTGCCCACGAGTGTTGTCGAATAAATTACAGGACACCCTGTATATAAGTATGTATGTATTCATAATTCTCTTTTGTGAAATCTCTTCACGAGCAACTTCAAACGTTTTCGCCTAACTTTAGAATTTTTCTACCGACGTTGCGTTCATGTTTTCTCGCGTACGTTTTAACAAATCGTGCTGAAGGATTGTCTTCAACGGTATTTCGATTGCGCACGATTTCAAAATATCTGGCACAGTTAATCCCACAACCATCTGTGACAAATTCGTAATATCGTTGCGAGCATGTTAATGCGACAGACCTCTATATATGTGACATTTCGGAATTTTATTCTGACAAATTTGTAACATATCTAGATTTTATCAAATTTTTAACGTGTCGATAACTGTCTTATAAATTTTCTTTGATCGATTTGAGAATCGACTCTTACTCAATGAAAATGTAAAAATAAAATATTTTACATATCTGTTAAATATTCATAAGATTGTCTTAAGTATCATGTGATGAGAAAGTTATAGACCTGTAAAATGCTGACGTGATGA